AAAATTAAAAAAAATAAATAAATAAAATTGATACCACAGTAAAAATTTCCAAAGAGCTATTGTAATATAGAAAAAAGAATGTTGTTGAAACGCGGTAATCGTTAGACCCCAACAGAGTTATGTTCTCATCAGCTCATAGCTACAGCTACTGGGTGCCAGACTACCTAGAAGTTACAGATTGTATAACCCATATATTATGAGCCATATTTTTGGCTTAGAACATCTCTCTGCTTGCCTGCCTGCTTTCCTTCCTTCCTTCCTTTCCATTTTTCCATCCTTCATCCTTTCATCCTGTCTTTTAAAATTTTATTTTATAGTATAATATTTTGGGAATAGAATTCAGGGCTTCACACATGCTAGACAAGGGCTTTACTGCTGAGCTATACCCCAGCCTCTTTCAAAAACAAATTTGGAATGCCTTTTTTTTTAGCTGGCTCCGGCTGCCTGAAGGGCGGGTCTGTTGTGGCTTGTGCACATGGGGATCAAACTGCAGTCCCATGCACCTGATTAAGTTTGCCCAAGCAGGTGCTTTAAACAACTGAGCTAACCAGCAAGCTCCCTAAAAACCAAATTTGGGACAGGGCCTCAGCTCAGGTTGGCCTTGAATTTGTGCTTCTCCTACCTAAACCCACTAAGTAGCTGGGATCACAAACATGCACTACCATACCAATACTCCTGCCGATGTTTCCTTGAATGATTTTCTAATTTCTAAAAATTAAACATTTTGCCCATGTTCTTTGTATGTCTGAAAAATTGGATACCAATGACACATAAGTAGGGCTCTTAACAAAAGATTAGCCCTGTTTCTAATTTACACAAATAAAACAGTATTTTAGATTGCCAATATTGTTTTAGGTTGAAGACAATGAATATACTGCAAGACAAGGTGCAAAATTTCCAATCAAATGGACAGCTCCCGAGGCTGCACTTTATGGTCGATTTACAATAAAGTCTGATGTATGGTCATTTGGAATCCTACAGACAGAACTTGTAACCAAGGGGAGAGTGCCCTACCCAGGTA